TCTACAAGATGGGAACTGATCGTTAGTAACGTAAGGCAACAGTTTGGAAGCATGAGAAACTGGATAAGTATGCACATGAGGAGAGACATCGATCACATACGTGGGACCATCAGGATCACTTCCTATACCATTGAGTACATGGTCAATATTAAACTGGGAGACTTACATCTTTATGGGAATGAGATCACTTACTCGAAACTGTGATACATCGTCTATGCTTGTTAGCTGGTCCATTGGTCCAATCATATGCTGTTGTGCTTTTATGAGCTGCTTTGTGGTTTCTGGAGGGTTTTCTTGTACTGTATAGTGAATTCCAAAGATTCAGACGACCAAGTTCCACACTTTCTCAGGAAACTAGAAGATCAAAGGCTTTCTTGTTGTCCTCCGAGTTGCAGATGGTTTGGGGTCCAAACCAACCTCTAGCAGTATGGGTAGCATTATTATAAGCACCGGCTACTTTAGGCAAATCCGCATCTCAGTCTAGCTGATTGGAGGTACTGATATGTGTTTGACAGTTGTTGCACTAGCCTGTTCAACTGTTCAGCCTGCTCTTTCTTCTCAAGGTGATTACCTGAGCTCATGGCTAGTTCAGTGATGTATCATGTTATTAAACCTTGCCATTGCTCAGTGGTGAACTGGACGATCCAATCACTCATAAGACTTTTTAGGCATTTCAAAAGTCTGATACCCATCTGTTCAAGAAAGACTCCATTACTAAAGCAATTTTCATTTACTTTTGGGAGAGGTATAAATCTAGCAAACGGAGAATCCATCTAGAATCATGCATAAGCATCTGCTTCAGTTCCTGCTAGTGAAAAAAGTGGTCTCCATGAAATCCATGGCTACTGACTCACTAAGCCCTCACTAAGCCCTAATTGAATAGGATGAGGTGCCCAAGCGGGCTAGCTCAGTTGGTTTGAGCTCGTAAGTGGTATTCAGGCGGTCGTGGGTTCGATTCCCCATGTCGTCCATTCAATCCCCCACGACCTCTTGTGATACGCTTCGGCTTCACCAGCGGAGATATTTGGTTTGGGCCTCCTGGCTGGTTGTGGAAGTGGTGATTGGTCTTCCCAGCCCGCGCCAGGTGTTAGGAGCTTGGGTACTGCTCCCCGCACAGAGCAGAGATTGGTAGGCTTTAGACCCATAACCCCAGCTTAGTTGATTATTCCAGGCTTTTCCATAGGATTGAGGGTAGGGCATAGATATGCAATCAGACTCTCTTTCATTCACACTTCACATGCATGCAAATAGGTTGCGCAGCAAACTGGCGACAAGCGCCCACTCCAAAACTCAGAGATATGGTAAGCAAGAACACAGTTCAGATACGATCTCACTTCAGATGGCTATGGCGCATCAGCGCCTATACAAATCTTTGTTCGTCACTCACACAACGCTGCTGTTCACACACCGGATCACCCTGGATATCCCACACGCAACACCCTGTACACTCGCACACACCTACAGCTATGGCGGCTATGGCCGCTGCTACTCTATCGCTATGGCTAACTTCCTTCTCGCCCACTTCGTCCTCGGGCTCACTGCATACCACCTCGCACAAGTCGCTACGGCAACGCTTCCGCATATGCAGGAATGAATGAATGGCTGGACGCTGCCCTTTGATTTATACTTCTGTAGCTCGTTGGTCTGGCCCTTTCCCATGCCCGTGGTGCACACAGTCCCATATGGTACTTGCTTGACTGAACTAGGACTGACTGGGACCGGTACCGCTGACTGCATGGGTTTGCACTGCCAACTCGATGCAGTCGCACCGCCGACGTACTGCAGTTGGGCTCACCACTTGCCCACTTGCCCACTTGCCTCAGCCGAAATGTGAGCAACTTCGAAAGGCCACTACTAGGACCTTCCGGAAGTCTGGGTCCAGGCCTTTTGAAGACTGTAGCAGCTACGACCTTGACCCTTCAGGACTGTAGCAATTACGACCTTGACCTTTCAGAAGTTCTACAACTACGACTTCTAGAACTCCCTAAGACTTCTACTCGACAGGTTTACAGATCGAACCCCTGCTACCTATGGACCATACGACAGTCTACCAACTGTTACAAATACACAGGTCACGGGTTCAACTCTCGGGACCGACACAAATACTGTACACAGGTAAGGTAAGAACTAGGGATTGAGCCCTGAGATCTGCATTCGCTACTGCCAACAGGTGAAAACCGTTTCACTCTCGCCGGCCTAAATTCGAGGTCCTCCGAGAATAACTCAGTCCAAGGCAGGTCCTTTAGCTTTCTTATCTCGCTCGTAGGCTCTAACTACGTCGGGAGCTGTTTCTAGAAGTTCGGTTCTAGTAAACCAGCGGTCGTCTTCTGGCTCCTGATAAGCAAATACTGCTTCTGTGGACGACCTCTACCTCCTGTTTTGAACACGTCTTCACCTACAATGCCGTCAATGTCGTACCTTCTGTCCATGTCTGGAGGAATCATGAATCTCCTAGATGGAAACTGTTGACTTGTGATACATGACAACAACTTTGAGGCATGAAACACAGGGTAGGTGTGGAGGTGTGGTGGGATCTCTACTGTGTAGGACGACCCATCCTCTCTGCCCTTAACTTCCAGAACTGGCCACGGTCCTCTATAAGCGGGCAGTAACTTCTGCGAGATGTTTTCCTCAGGAGCAAACTCCTTAGACTTAACCCAGACCAGGTCGCCTACTTGAAATTGTGACGGGCGACGGTGCTTATTAGCTTGTTCTATCATTCGGTGATGGGCCTTCCTGAGGTTTTCTACCACGGTAGCTAACTCTTTCTCGTGCTGTAACTCAAACTCCCTAGTACCGGGCGGTAGCCTGTGAATCTGATCCCGGTTAAGTCCCTCAAACGGTCTACGTGGTCTAAAGGACTTATGCAACTCGTGGGGAGTGCGACAGGTAGACAAGTGCACGCTATTATTGTACGCACTGGCTACTTTGGGCAACATCTCATCCCAATTGATCTGATCCGGTCTAATGTGCATACGCAGAACTTGTTGCAGGATCTTGTTCATCTGTTCCGTCCGACCGTTAGTCTCTGGATGACGGTCAGATGCCATCAACAACTTGGAGCCATAGACTCTCATCAACTCCTGCCAGTTCTGACTAGTGAACCAGGTGTCTCTATCACTAACTATAGACAGTGGAATCCCGTGTTCACTGACCCAATGATAAAAAAACTTCTGAATAACTAATTCGGTGCGTGCCTCTGAGGGAAAGGAACAAAAACAACATACTTACTAAATCTATCAACTATTACCATGACTTGGCTCTTGCGGTGTCTATTCTTGACATGGGTGTCCATAAAGTCAATGGACATTCAATCCCCTGGCTGATCAGGAATAGGCAAGGGTTTGAGAAGACCAAGAGGGGCTCGCGTAGAGGTCTTATTTCTCTGGCAGACTTTACAATTGCGAACATAATTTATGCAGTCGGCCTTCATCCCAGGCCATATGTACGCGCGCATGAGGTTAGCTAGAGTCTTTGCCAATCAAAATGTCCCTCAGTATCCTGGCATTCCCCTAGGATCAAACTACGGATCTCTTCACTGTTAGGGATGCACAACCGGTCAACTACGTTAGTCTTCTCGAACAACAACCCATCAGTAGTGCGGTAGTCTGGTTCGGTCTCTGGGGCCTCCTTTACCCTCTTGAGGAGGTCACCATAGATAGGGTCCTGCGCATAGGCCTCTCTAACTTTTTGCTGCAGGTCTCTCCCTATATCCAGATAATGAACTATCACTGCAAAGTAGTCAGCTCTCCTACTCAGAGCGTCCGCAACTACATTATACTCCCCTTTGACTGGCTTGAGATCAAAGTCATATTGGTGTAATTCTGCGGCCCACCTAGTCAGCTTAGGTGTCATCTTGGCCTGCGTCTTTAACCACCTTAATGTTTCGCGGTCTGAGTAGACTTTAAAGTGCCTCCCAAGCAAGTAATGCTTCCAATGTTCTAATGGTTGCTTGAGAGCGTAGAGTTCCCTCTCGTAGGTGGATGTCGCTACCTTCTCTGACGACATCCTAGCATGAACTCTACGGGTCTATATCCGTTGCCATTGTCTTGCTGTAATACAACACCTATACCATACTGGCTTGCGTCAGTGGTGACGGCGAAAGGTAAGGACGGATCGGCTACCTTAAGGACTGGGTACTCTATCAATGCCTGCTTCAACTTCTTCATAGCAGACGTGCAGTCCTTGTCCCACTTCCAGATTGTTTCTTTCTTCAACAACTTGCGAAGGGGTGCAGCGATGGTGGAGAAGTTTCTCACAAACTTCCGGTAATAGTTAGCTAGGCCTAAGAATTACCACAACTCTGTCAACGTGCGGGGCGTAGGCCAATCCCTAATCGCTGCGATCTTGCTATCTTCTGGCTTAATACCGTCTCCGTCTAAGACATGGCCGAGATATAGAACTTGGGTCTTTGCCCATTCGCACTTCTTTGCGTTGATCTTGAAGTTAGCCTTTCTCAACTTCTCCAAGACCTGCCTCAGATGACCCTCATGCTCCTGGAGGGTCCTACTGAACACTGAAATATCGTCTAAGTAAACTACTACAAATCTATCTAACCACGGCCTAAACAAGTTATTCATACAACGCTGAACAGTCGCTGGCGCGTTAGTTAGTCCAAAGGGCATGACTATGAACTCGTAGTGCCTATATCTAGTCCGGAACGCAGTCTTATACACATCGTCAGGATGAACCTCTATCTGATGATATCCAGACTTCAGATCTTATCTTCAAAAAATACTTTCACCTGTGCACCCGATCTAAAAGATCATCTATACGGGGCAGTGGCTCTGCATTCTTCACTGTAATCGTGTTGAGACCCCTATAGTCTATACACATTCTGAGCTCTCCTTCCTTCTTGGGGACAAACAGAACAGGTGCTCCAAATGGAGACGAACTGGGCCTAATCCAACCCTTCTCTAGGAGCTTGTCCAATTGCTTGCGCATCTCCTCCAACTCCTGCGGGGACATCGTATATACTATTCCTTTAGGAGTTCTACTGCCAGACTCTATTTCGATAGGATGCTGGATTGGCCGCGATACTACTCATGTTGGCGGCTTAGCTAAGTCTGTGAACTCTTCCAGTAGCTTGGCAATAGCTGGGTCTATAGGCTTCTCCTCTTCAGGCTTAGTCACTGGCCTAATATAGGGTACGGAAACCTGTTCCTCTAGCTGCTCCTTCTTCGCTAACCTTGCAAACGCAGGAGCGCTAAGGCAGCAATGTGCCAGGGAGTTGTCTACTCCTGACGCATGAAACAGACGGGCAGTCTTGACCCCGCCTGACGGGCTAGAGAGCCTACACTCATGTTCCCTCAAATGGAGTGTGGCCCCTGCTGCCTCTCCCCAGTCCATTCCTAGGACTATATCGAAGGGAAGGCTGTCCTCGACGAGGAGAGTCAGGGAATGGATAACTTTCTCCACTTTCCCATCTTTTTCTAGGAGAAAGTACGCCTGGACTCCCGCTACGTAATCCTCTACTCGCATCGTGCGATTGTCTGCGAGGATACTCACTATGGGGTCTGCTAAATTCTGGACTTTCAACCCCAACTTCAACTTCTGCAGCGCCTTTCTACTGATACAGCTGCGCGTGGCCCCACTATCTACGAGGGCCCCTACTCTACCTCTGAAAATCTCTACATCTACTAAAACTAGTTGTCCTCTACTCTCCTTCTTCATCTTGGCCCAGGCGGGCATCCTCTCCTTTAGCTCATCGGCCACGCCTGTGAGGGAAGTGCCTAGAGAGACCCTAACACAAGCAGTCTTTGGACAGCCATCTAGGCACCGACTTGCAACCTCTGCCATAGGCACATGTGGTGTGGGAGATTCGTGCCAGCTCGCACTCATTTCCCTTCATGGCCTCATGGTAGGGGCAGTTGCTACCCCTACCAGCGGCTGCCTTTTGACCCCTGGGCAGCCCATCGGGCCTCTCTATACTTCGGACATTATTTAATGATGTGGCCAGGGTCACCGCAGTATATGCACTACCCCTGGTCCACACACTATCGCCAGATGCGCTGGTTTAGACCCAAATCTTCCCAAGGTCGGCCCTGTGGCAGACCTGGGTGCCAACCACTTCTCCTATAGGGTGATCTATTACCCCTATTAGGCGATCTATTCCCAGAACGGTTTTGCGGGGGACCTTGACCCCTTCCTCCCGCTTGGCGGTTTCCTCCTCTACCACCAACCCCCTGATCACCCTGGGAGCGGCCCCCTGAGGCCTGACCCCATTGGCCTTGGCCTCTACCTCCTCCTTGCGGCCTCCCTCCAATCGCGACAGCAACATATGTCCTCCCTTGACTAACGCCACTGTCCTCCTCCTCTAGTCCCCACTCAATCTGCTCGTAGGGAACTTCGTCGACACCACCCTCATCTAACGTAAGGATCAAACGATCCTTGGTCTTGACCTGACCCGAAATGGTGCGACCCTTCCACTTTTTGCCCTTGTCCAGGTCCTTGTGCCAGAAAGTGGAAACTGACGTGGGGCTACCACTTCCCTGCTCAAAGCATCGTAGGTCATGGTAGGCTGCTGACTCTTTTCAAAGAAATGCCCGCGTAACTGCTCGGGCATAGCGCAGTAGAAGAGGTTGACCAACTGGGTCTCAGTGACCCCATGGTCAGGAACGACGACCAACTCATCCATCACACCCTTGAGTGCCCTTGCACTCCTCCATTGACGAGAATGGATGGTTTGCAGCTTATCTGAAGCCTTGGCACTACGCGAGACGTCTGCAAACCGTTCCCTTAATAACTTAAGAAAATCGCTGAGAGGGGTGAATGCTGAATATGCAACTAAATCATCGTTGCAGTTGGCGGCGCGACACAGGGAACGGGCGAAGCAGCAAGCTTCATCCCTAAGAGCGTGAATAGCGATTAGGACATGCTCGTCTGGGGTGAATTTCTGCAGGTGCGCGTACGTCTTAATGTTAGCCTCCCAATTGTCAAAGTTCTCCTCCTTCTTCCCACTATAGGAATCAGGGAACTTGACCTTGACCGGCTCCCTACGGGGACGTGCTTCCTCCTCCTTGGGAGCAGTCAATCTGGCGCCTTCTATGGCACCCGTACGATACGTTTCGTGCCCTGTAGGCGGGCCCTCACCTCTGAGCCCACCTGCGTCGCCAATTCCCTGGCGAAGTCTCGGAGCCCTAATCGTATAGAGCATACAACAATGTCCTGACCTCTACCAAACAAGTATTGTTCTTCCTGGACCTGTGCCAGGCGCTCTATGTTTCTCGCCATTATCTCCATCTTCCCCAATAAATCCACTTGCGTCGCCATCTGCTCTCGTTGCTTCTTTACCTCCGCTAATTCTTTCGCCGCCTGCCTCGCCGCCTCCATTCTTCTTTTCCTCTCCCTCGTCAATCGAAATTTCCACTCCATCTTCTTCTCATCCTCTATCGCCTGCCGCTTGAGTGGGTCTTCTTCGACATCCCACTCTTTCATGGCGGCCTCTTGTTCTTCCCTGGGCACATACATCAGTGCCTCCTCTTCTTCCCCAAGGGATAACCCAACAACCCACCCTGTGATTTTCTTCTCCATCTGATCTTCTTTTGTACCACTGGATTCACCTCTTCCTCCTGCCCTTCGCCTTTCCAGTGGCTGTTCTTCTACCTCTTCCTCCTCTTCTACCGCCTTGAGCTTCTCTTCTTCTTCTCTCTTTAGCCTCTCTTTATCTCTGGCCATCTCCTCCTTAATCTTTTTCAACTTCGCCGCCTGTTCTTCTATCAAGGCCTTCTTCTTGGCCTCCTTCTTCTCCCTTCTTTCTTTCAGGATGGCGGCGGCCTTCGCATCCTGCTCTGCTGTGTAAGGGGAGGTGCTCGTTCCTGTACGTGTGTCAACCATGGTGAAAGGTGCACAACCAAGTGACAGTTCCGCTCCTCACCGCTTAGACTCTCCCCCTAACTGACTCAACTTAAGACTGACTGAATCTATGGACTACAGGGTTCGTAGAGAGCCCTGTCAACTATGGTCTCTAGCCTAGACTCTAATCACTATAGCCGTCACTACAGAACCTGTTGCTGACCAGGAGGCATTTAAGGAGAATTCTTTAACGTTGCAGACAGGACGACGCGGTCAGCAGGTTCTCTCAAGACTTAGACGGCCCGTTGTGCAGTCCACAACTCGGATTTTGGGCCTACCTTGCCACACCAAGCAGCCCGCCGGTCAGTACCGGTCCTTGGGAGGGTTCGTGTCCTCCGGGACAGTCGAGTTGTCAGACAGTCTTTAGCCCTACTCAGCCCGTGTGGGTTTGGTCAACGAGGCCCTATCCTTCATACATGGTGTCCTATCACCTGGACAAAAGAGACTCAATGCAGAAAGAAGAGACGGACAGACTCAGACTCAGCAAGTACCATAGGGTGAGTGCACATCCATAAGGCGAGGGGATAGGCTGAGGGCTTGGCGATACCAACTCCAGATTGGTCAAATTCGTGGTCAGCAGCTCCGGTCAACGCCTTGGTCAACGCGGTGAAACCCCGGTCAACGGTCCGGTCAACCCAACGGTCAACGCCCTGTCAACCTCCAAGTCGGCTATGGCTGCCGGCACCTTCTCTTTCCCCCTCCTTCTTCTTCTTTCTCCTTTTTCTCTTTTTTTTTTTTTTTTTTTTTTGTTCACCCTTGGCTATGTCTGTCTTCACCTTCGTTGTCCCTCCTTCCTCGTTACTCAGCTATGTCTTCCTCTTCCTCTCCGGTCTCTCCTCTCTTCTCCACTTCTCCTTCCTTCGTCAACCCCGTGTCCGAGCTCTACGGCTATGGCCGCTACTTTGTCTTGGACCGCACAACCAATCTCGTATCACACAACTCTCTCTCTCCGTGGTGCTGTCTTCAGCGCAGGTGCGTAGCAAAC